AGGGAAAACATTTGCACATCATATACATAGTAAAGAGGACATCCAGAATAAAGAACTTCTACAATTCCACAACAAAAAAAAATCCAAGTAACATGACTTTAAAAATGAGCCAACACCTTGAACACACATTTCTTCAAGGCATATGAAAAGATGCTCAACACCACTAGTCAGGGAAATGCGTATGAAAACTATAATGACATATTACCTCACACCCGTTAGGTTGGCTGCTATCACAAACAAAACAAAAAACAGAAAGTAACAAGTGTTGGTGAGGATGCAGAGAACCTGGAACCCTTGTGCCCTATTGGTAGGGATGTAAAATGGCATGGCCAACTACAGAAAACTGTATGGATGAGGGTCCCCCCCAAAATTAAAAAAGAATGATTGCACTGCGAGATAACAGAAAATATATATTTGTCTCTACCCCTGGTTCCTGGCACAGAGCTCCTAAAACTCTTACTATTTGGTCTCTTAATATTTGGTCTCTGACTCCAGTCAGGACACAGTGCTCCTGAAATCCTTATAATTTCCTGGGTGATAAAAGTGTCTTTTGTTCTCCTGGATTCCTGGATGTCTTCTGAATAAGGGCAGGTCACCAGAAAGACCAAACTATGATTAGAAACTTGGAATTTTCAGCTCTCCTCCATCATGCCCCAGAGAGGGGAGAGGAGCTGGAAACGGAGTTAACAATCGATCGCGCCTATGTGAGGAAGCCTCCATAGAATCCCAACAGTACAGAGTTCAGGGAGCTTCCATTCCAGGCGGGTGAACACATCCACACCAGGAAGGGTGGCACGCCCTAACTCCACAGGGGCCCTGCAGTTGAGGCCCTCCCATTCCTTGCCCTACGTATCTCTTTATCTGGCTGGTCGTCTGTATCCTTTATCACATCCTTTAATAAACTGGTAAAGTAAGTAAGTGTATTCCTGGGTTCTGTGAGCCAATACATCAAAATAATTGAACCTGGGAGGGGTCCTGGGAACCTCCAATTTGTAGCCAAATTGAACAGAAGTTGCAGGTTACCTGGGGACCCACTACTCATGATTCGCATCTGGAGTGGGGTGGGAGCAGTCTTGTGGGACTGATTCCTTAACCGGTGGGATCTATACTATTTCCAGGTAGACAGTGTCCGAAATGAGCTAAGCGACAGGACGTGTCAGAAAATTGCTTGGTGGGGGCAAAGCCTCCCTCCACACATTAGGTGACCAGAAGTGTCGCAAGTCATGTTCTGTGTAAAAGTAAAGGAGATGTGCAAGTGAAAGAAAGACACAGTATGGAAGAACTAGGTTTTTCCCTCCGGGAGGGAAAAGCGAGTCTTTTCTTTCCACCTGTGATCCGGCAATCTGACTTCTGAGTATATATCCAAGAGAATTCAAAGCAGGGTCTCGAAGACATATTTGTACACCCATATCCACCACGGCCCTGTTCCCAACAGCAGAGGAGATGGAAGCAACCCTAACGTGCATCGGTGAACGAATGAATATACGACATGTGGTACACACAACGGAGTGTTATTCAGCTTTAAAAACCAGAAGGAAATTCTGTCACGTGCCGTAGTATGGATGAACCTTGAAGACCTTATGCTAAGTGAAACAAGCCAGTCACAAGAAGACAACGTTGTATGCTTCCCCTTTGCTACCGCAGTCAAACTCACAGTCATAGAAGGCAGAATGGTGGTCACCAGGGGCTGTGGGGAGGAAGAAGCGGTGAGTGGTGTAGGATTTCTACGCATATGTGGAATCTAAAAGAGGTGAATCCATGGAAACGCAGAGCAGAATAGGGGCGTTACCAGGGTGTGGAGGAAGAGGGAGATGTTGGTCAAGGGTACAAACTTCCGGCTACACGATGAGCAAGTTCTGAGGATCTAAGGTACAGCACAGTGACTACAGTTACGAATACCGTATTATATATCAGAAAGTTGCTAATGAAAAGGCCTTAAATACTGTCACCACAGGCACACAAAATGGCAATTAGGTGATGGAAGCACCTAACCTTACCGTGGCCATCATTTCACAATATACACATGTATCGCATCTCCACGTTGCACGTTAAACTTTTACAATGTGATTGGTCGCTTGTATCTCGACAAAGCTGGGGGAAAAACAAGAATCTCGCGTGGCCCGTGAAGGAACCAGAAGAAAAAGCTGACGGGTATGTATGAAAAAGAAAAAAGAAAGAATGGGCAGCAGGTTTTCAGGGGGTATAGAGACTGGAGATTGGCCGCACACGTGAATATATGTGGCACTACTAAAGCAAGCATACACTTAAAAACGGCTAATAAACGTTGTGGTTTTGACTACAATTTAAAAAACTTGAAAGAAATCACACTACACGTACCTACGGCTGGTATAAAAGTCATAATCAAAACACACTCACACCATTTTCCAGGTGATTCAATAGAAGCCATTCAACTCATGGCTTTCACGTAGTTTTTTACTTTCTGAAGACGTAACTGCAAGCTGACTGGGCTTTTCTCATCCTCATCTTCCCTGATCTCTTTGCAGGAATGAATATTACCGGTCATTCCTATTGTGTAAACATCCTCGCCGGCTGGCTTCTCTCACACAAATTGACTTCTCTCCACGTCTCCACAGCTTTGGCTGACGTCCTCCGCATGCCCCTCGTGTGTTCTTCCCTGTCCTCCCGTCTGTCCTCAGTCTTCTGTCTCTAACCTGCTTTGTGAATGAAGCTCATGACTTCAGTAACTGTCTCGTGCGGATAACTTCTAAATTTTCATCATCAAATATTTTTAAAAACCTATGCATATAATACATATGGACATATCCTGCAGGTAGCTATAGAATCAATTTTCAAGTCTGGTACGTTCTATCTCTATAAAATCTCTCCAATCTGTCCCTTGCTCTTCTTCAAGTAGATAGAGACCACTATGTGATTCATTCATTCATCAAACATTTACTGAGATCTAATTAAATACCTAACATGGTGCTGGGAACTGGAGACCCAAGAATTCAACAGCATGAGCCCTGCTCTTAAAGAGTGCACTTATAATCATATGTATCTAAGTGATCACAATTGCTACAGTCATCTTCACAAACCATTGTAGAGAAACAGATTACACATCTGCTTGTTTGGGCCTCCTAAATGTGAATGAAACTGATACGAGCCACTCCCAAGCAGAGACCTATCCTCACAGAAATGTTATCTGGTACACAAATTCCCTAGTCTGATAGTTAAGGGCCTAAAAATGTAGCTACTTACTTATCCAGCAGCATCTCAACCAAACCCTACCCACCAAGCTACTGAATCCCCAAGTTTATTCCACAGCTGCTAATCCAGGAAAAACAAGGAGGTTTTGGTCAGCTAAGACTGGGAAATGCCCTTTGAAACAGTTAAATAGACTTCATTGCAGAGCTTCTTGGAGCCTTTAATGCGTTTGCAAAATCCCTGGAGAATTTATTAGGCAGTCTTTTCCAACCTTGCCGTTCTAACCAACGCTGCTGGTATATGGTCAACTCTCCAACCACCGCATCTTTGTTCATACTCTTCCTCCAGCCCCAAGTCCACAGGACCAAGCCACGCCCTTCTTTCAAGACCCACCACAAATGCCCTCACTCCAGGAAGCTTTTCCTATTTTTTCCTTCACAAAGCAGTCTTTTTCCCCTCTGAGCTTCTACTGGTCTCCCTCAAATTCAGCCTCCGTATCGCTTCCAGTGATCTTGCCAAACGCAAACCTATTACACCATTCACCTATGTTCCAGAGCACCCCCCCCCACCTGCTCTCAGGAAACAAAATCAATTATAGGCCATCCTAGTCCAGACCATTCCTGTGTTTCTAGCCCCATCGCCTATGATATCCCTGTAGCTATACAAGGCCACTCTCAACTCCCCAAAGATTTTATGCTATTTCGTAACACCATCCCTTTATACGTTGTTTCCTCTACCTCAGGACCCTCTGTCCAGCTAATTCCTTGTCTTTCAAAGCCGAATTCAAGCATCACCTCTCTCAAGGAGGCATCCCTAATCTAAGTTAGATAGCTTCCCTTTGTGCTTCCATGATGTCCTAAGACAGAAGTTCTCAATCAGATCAGATTTTGCCCCGTTGGGGATCATACGGAAAGGTCTAGAGGCATTTTCTACGATCACGAGTGAGGGGTGAGGATGGGGAGCGCTACTGGCATCTAGTGAATAGAGGCCAGAGATGGTGGTGGTAAACATCCCACAGTGCACAGGACAGCACCCCACAGCAAAACGCCACAGTACCCAGGTTAAAAAACCTTGCCGTAAGCACACCACCGTGGCAACACATCACCATATAAGCACTGATTTAGTTATTTAGCTCCCTCACTAGACTGTAAGTTCCTAGGACAACAGGACTCTCTGGTGTTAACAGTGTTAATATCCAGCATTCATGAAGCGCTTACTATCTGCCACTCACTGTTCTAAACAACGAACTTGCGTAACCTCATGTAATGCTCAGGGACAACTATGAGCGGGTACTATTCTCTTCCCGGTTCTGCACACTAACAGAGTGAGCTGTGGACTCCCTGAGGTCACACAGCAAGTTGTGGAGCTGGGAGCAATCTGATTTCATCACCCACACCCTTCAACACTGTTCCATTCTCCTCCCAAGATACTTCTATCAAACAAGAACAATACTTGTCTTTTTATGGAGGTCAAATCTTTGTTCTTCTGAACATCACTTATGAAACGTTTTACTTACCAGTGCCAAGAGCCCCGACTTCGGCACGTTTGACATTTTAAAGCGAGTAGCTCTGCGGTGGGGGGCTTACTTAGGCATCGTACGATGTTTACCAGCATCCCTGGCCTCTACCCACTAAATGCCAGTAGCACCACCACCTCCCGGGTCCTGCCTGTCATGACAATAAAAACAGTCTCCAGAGCCCACCAAATGTCCCCTGCAGGGAGGAAATCACAACTGATCTAGAACATGTTTGTAGAATAAAGTAGTGAAGTCATTTTTAATACAGTACTTAAAAGGAAAACTCTGTTCAAAGATTAAGAAAGAAACAATAATTTACCTTTTCAGCTAACTCTTCTGCTGTTATCTTTGGATCATAAGGAATAGGCTCACCTAAATAGGTGCGTAATTTCACAGGAAAACCTCCATACATCGGAGCAAATGGATAGCGGAATTTTTCATAAAGCCATCTAAATAACCCTGTTTTAAAGTAAACAAATTATTTTAATGGGTTAAATATTCTGAGCACATAATTGTAACTTTCAAATTAATATGTAAGACTTAGAGGAAGGTGGCAAACAATATCACCCCTGGGCAATTAGTACAATATATGTTTTTTTAAGACGAGCTTTTCATCACTTGTAACTAATGGAGCATACTAACGTAAGATGTTAATAATAAGAGAAACTGAGGGGTGGTGAGAAGCTGTATCAGTACTCTGCATTTTCTGCTCAATTTTTCTGGGAACCTAAAAATGCCCCCCAAAATAGGTTTGTTCATTTTTTTTTAAATGAGCTTTCAAAAATAAGAGAATTTTAAAAAGGCAAATCAATTACTATTATTACAAAACAAAGGGTAAAGACTATAACCCAAAGCTAGAAGCTAAAATGTCTAGAGACTCACAAAAACAGGCTTGTATGAATAAAAGAAAAAAAAGAAAAGGGTAAGATAAATTCACGTAAACATGAAACTACAATGCACCAATAAACCAGGTAAAGAAAAAATATTGTAAATTAAGAAAACTGCAGAGTAGCAAAGAATTACTAATGTTAGTGACCAAGTACAAAATTTAGCAGGATTGCAAGTGGCAATAATGTAAAATAAACTGATGAACTAAGTAAAAAGTCAAAAAGCAGTCAACAGTAATTTTTAAACCACTTTATAATTAAAGAAACAAAATTAGGAATAATTTTTGGTATGCAACTTAAATTCTGAAGAAATACCTGAGAGAAAATTAGAAGAAATAATTCTACTGTAAGAAATAATCCCCAACAGTTAAATATCACATCACTTTCCACTTTACATTTGAAAAAAAGAGGGGGGGGGAGTAATACCTAAAAAATGTAATCGAATATCAACGATATACCAACATCAGACATAAAACAGACAACAGAAATTTAAAGTTCTTCAAGAGGAGATCTGCATGGGGATAGGAACAATATATTGCTAGGGATACAAAATATAATCAATCAAATATAATATATAAACCACAGGATATAAAAATAAACTATGAAAATCTCAAAATAAAAAGAAAACAACAGAGAAACTGCAAAGAAAAAGCACATCTAAATGTTATCTCTCCTCTAACTACACTCAAAGCTTATTTTGTTACCCATAAATTAAAGTTAGGCAAAAAGAACTTTATAATATAAATGTATCATGGTTCAAAATATTTTAAAAAGCAAAAAATAAGAAGTAACAGATATGAACCAAAGCAGATGATACATCCTTGTGTCGTTAATCTTAATTCAATATCATATTGTCATCCATTTTTAAAGCTGAAACTCATGCAGCAGTGAGTTAGGAAGGCAGTCTGAGTCATGGGTACATTTGTTCTAAACCTCAACAACGTGGTTCAACCCAGGAAATTAGATAACTCACTGTAATTTTAAGCACACAACAAATAAGCTTCAGTATGTAGATGAGATTCTCAACAAAAATCTAACATCTAAGAACTGCCATTACTTAGAATGAGTTATCGTTTAGACTTTAAATAGAAAAGCATCTAAATAATAAATTCATTATCTAAAGTAATAACTCAAAAGGATCTCTTTTAGGGTTCAAAAGCCCAAATATTTAAACTACTATAATCTAAATATTACATTACAATTAGAAAAACCATATGAATCAGAACTTACTTGTTCCTCCAAGTGATCTAAATCCTTCTCGAATATTTTGTGTAAACATAGGAATAATGGGCTAGAGAGAATTTGAATTAAAAAGTAAATATATTGATCCATTCAATATCACCATTGAGTCAGTAATGCAAACTTTTGGGGGCCTGCTTAAGATTATGAAATGAGGTATTTTAAAAATAAAGGTATACTTTTATCACTAGTGTGATTTATCAGACTAAATTTAACTTGATCATTTGTAAAAATAAAAATTGGAACTACTACCCTCTAGTGGCGATATGTATTTCATTTGCCAACTTTCCTATCATTCCACATAAACCCTTGAAACTCAAAATGAGGATTACCAAAATCATTAATTTCACAGAATAAAATGAATATGGTAAATTGATCTTAGCGGTCCACTGAAGAGTACGCTGACTGGAGAAAAGTTACAAGGCAGAGGTCCCTGTATGGGGAAATACATATGAATTTAAATGACAGGTTTTGGCAAGATGCTGTCACAGAATTACTGAAACACTTTTTTGTGTGAGCTTATGAAATCTAAAAATGTTCAACATTAATGAAAAGTATAAGACTCACTGCAAAAAAAAAAAAAAGGAAAAGCATATACAGAAAACAATTCCTTTTATCATTAATTTTAGAGCATTTCTGCTCACAAGTTCATGGTTTTTATTATCCTATGAATATCACTGATTAAGCATGATTTTTTAAACAGAGACCTTAACAATGATGAAATAGCAAAGGATCACGTAAGGAGGTTCTACCCTGGTGAAACTGAAGTAGACAAAAAAAAAATTGAATAGAAACACCTTAATATGCACACAAAATCCAACGAATTAAACGATGTTTCAGAAAAAAAAAAAAAGCTGAGTATCACTTTACTTCCAGTCTACCATCAGTCTGTGCCGAATACAGTGTTCCCTGCCTCGGTGAGCAGGGCTTGAGATATTTAAATAAGCTGACATTTTACAAAGCCATTCTCACTCAGCTGTGGGGAACAGTAAACTATGGTGGACTGAAGGAAAGGGACTAAAGGCATAGCTTTCTTCCTAAGACTTACTAGCTCACATAGAACCACTGACCATTTATTTACTGTATCTCTCCCCGCAGCGGAAGGAAGACCCCTAACAGCGGAGACGTTGTTGTGCTCACAGCTGCGTCCCCAGCACCCGGAACAGTGCCTGGACTAGACTAGGTGCTAAAACGAAGTGCGATGAAGGAATCACAGAAGGAATGAGTACACAGAACAGACACAATGCCTGTAATGGATTAGTTTGTATTCTCTGAATACAAAATGTCAGAAACAGGCAGCAGCAATCTTAAAACCAGTTAGGAAAAAAAGTCAGGTAAAGAAAAGCACTCGGGTGGAAGAATTTAAAGTTTCGTGGCATTAATCCACAAAGCTGAAACATGAAACAAAGTACACGGACTCTTTGGTAAAAAATTCAGATTATGATCAAGGAAACCACCCCTAGTTTGGGGAAATAAAGCAATTGGCTGACAGTCTAACATTTTAAAGAGTTATAAAATGTCTTTAGAGTTGAGAACATAAAATGCCCAAAGAGGAACAGAAACCTTTCAGCTCACATAGACACACACCCTTTGTCTTCTCTGACCAGTATTGCTGGATTTATGTCTACTGAGTGGCAGGAACCCCTAAGTTTATGCTGAAGCGTGCACTTTATGAAGATTCTTGAGGTTACATATCATCGTTTAAAAAGCTTACTCTCCAGAAGCTAGATATTTCTAGAACTTCCTGAACAGGAAAATGCTTACCCTAGCAGGCTCAGTATTCCAGGCTATAGTCTGGGCATATGGTCGCTTAGATTTGCATTCAAGCTTAAAGCCTTAAGACCATAAGCATTACTTTATTACAACCTGATATTTTAGTACAATTATTCCTCCCTTTCCTCATGCACCTTTTGTATACGAGGGACTTGCATAAGTAACCTAGGATGAAACTGTTTGCAGTATACACGTATCTTTGTGTAAGGGTGTGCAAGAGAAAGAGAATGTGTATTTTGTTAAAACTAGTCTTGGGGAATCAGGTGAATGTGGTCTGAGAGTCTAAACTTTGCCACTAAAAGTAAATGAGCACCACTGGACAAATCACCAAAATGGAAATAATAATAATTATCCTATCTCAAAGGCTATTTTGTGGATTGAGATAATACATATTAACAATTTTACTAAAACAACTGTTATTTTCTTTTATATCAGTTATTTGTTTTCTAACTTGAATAAATGGGCTAATGTTTTCCCAACCTATTTAGATATGAAGTCACCTAAACATTCCTATCAAAGTGATAATTCTCAGGAATTTCACAAAATGAGTGATTTAGATCATATTAAAAAGCCTGTAACTTTCAGATAAACCTTAAATATTTTTTACCAATATTTTGTAAACTTGCACTGACAATCTAGATTTTTTTCACTTCAATTTGTTATAATGTCACAATTTAAATGCAGTTATTCCTGCAGCAGTCTTAAATTTTTACTGGAAGTTTATGATAGTTCTGTGAGGACTGTGAAGGGGTTTTCCAGATGGGATACTTGTAGCATTCACAACTAGATCCATATATGATTGAAAGAGCTCCGTCACGTATCCGGAGGGTCCCCCTAACCTCCAGGTCAGCAGACTCATGGTGAAATGCAGGCAGGAGTCCCGCATGTAAGCTCTGCTTTGCTTCTGCCTTGCTGTATGACCCGACCCCTCCATCCCTTCATCTCTCTGTGCCTGAGTTCCCTCATCTGCAACACTGGAAGAATTACATACGTCACCTACTTACTATACAGGAGTACCAACGTAAAGCCTTTAGAAGCACTACAAAAGGTTGGGGTGATACAGTATTTACCAAACATTTAATGCTATGTTGTAAATCAACAACGTTAAAGATTTTTGTTTTTAAACTTAAAAAAGGCGGTTTATAAAATTTTCCCAAGTTTTATACAGAAACTTTAATTAAATGATCTGGATTATCTTACTTAATTATCTAGAAACTCTACCAAAGATTGAAAAAAATAGTTCCTTTCTCTCTGTAATTTCTTTCTTTCAGGCCTTCGTCCAGGCAATGTTCCTTAAATCTGTGAAGTTAAGGATGAGAAATTAGAATCTCATGATCAATTTAATTCCAAACCTATTTTTGTCATTTTTATCTTAAAACTTTATAAGAAATCATTCTTTCAAAATATAAACTGAAAACTAAACTATCTTTGATTAGGTTTTTAGCTTTTATCATTGCTTTAACAGATATTACATTCATTACCATTAATTTTTGTACAATGGTGCATATATCCTTTTGTTTTACATTATTCATATATTCTAAAATTTTGTTTTATACATCAGTGCTTAAGACTCTTTGAGAAATAGGGGTGCCTGGGTGGCTCAGTCAGTTAAGCATCTGACTCTTGGTTTCCACTCAGGTCATGATCTCATAGTACGTGAGAGTTCAAGCCCTTCTTGGGGCTCTGTGCTGACAGCGCAGAGCCTGCTTAGGATCCTTCCTCCCTCTCTCTCTCTCTCTCTCTCTCTCTCTCCAATAATAAATAAACTTAAGGAAAAAAAAAGCTATATGGCTTTAAAAAAAAGCCTCTTTGGGAAATAAAATGTGCTATAAATTAATTTTCTGTATCACTAATACTATTAACATAAAGTTCAACTTCAAACATCCCTTTCTAGTAGTGCTTAACGTTTTTCTAGTAGTGCTTAACGTTGTGTTTAAAAAATCAATTCAATTCAATTCAATTCAATTCAATTCAATTCAAAGATTACCAAATGCCAATCACTGTAGATGGTCTCGTCCTCAGGGAGCTTATAATCTACAGTAGGACAATAGTGTTTAAATGTGTATGTTGTCTATTATTAAACACTTGGGAAAGTGCAGTAACTCTTATTCTGGGATCACATTACTAGTGCGCCACAGCAGTAACTTCTGGTAGTTACATGTACATGTGTACAGGACAAACTAAAACTCAATGGATTTTATTTTAATTCTGCAGTTAAAAAAAAAAAAAAATCCCGTTCTTCCTCAAATATCCGTCTTGGGTCAGAATGAGTCATCTGTAATCTCTTCGTTTTTAATCAAGAGCCTGTATCTGCGAGCTGAACAGGCAAGTTAAGCGTGCACACCGGTCTCTATGTAGCAGCAATGGGCACACAAAAAACACTGACGCAGGGAAGTACTGTCAGCAGTCTCTAACTAACTGGCCCAGAGAAAGAACACCATCCTGGTCAAAGGCACTACCATTTCTTTTCCCGACAGACAATCTAAAATGAAAACAGAAAACACAGGAACATTCCACAAGTGATCAGTAAGCGTTTCACAGGATAAAGTACAATATGGAAACCAAAAAGTTGAGAAATACTTTCCAAAGCAAAAGAAAAGGACAAAATGGCATTCACATTCTCTAGCCTACTAAACAGAATAATTACAGTGGATCTCAGAGGAACACTTAATTTTATTGACTAGTTCTTTCATCAAAATCTTTTTAAAAGATCTAAGTTACAGTAATATTTGTTTCTCATCTTCAGTACAATCAGAGAGCTGACCACATTTGCTGATAAAAAAATAATAGGGGCTACGAATTATTCAATTCCTAGGATTAGATAAATTGGTCACAGATAAAAGAATTGCAGTGAAACCAACCAACGACCGTCACTGAAAATATGCCAATTCAATCATACCAAAGGACTAAAATACATAGAACTGAACTGATTACACTTTTGAACAAGGTATGACTGAAGGAATACAAAACATTTTACAAATCTGATTAAAAGTCAGATTTTGAAATACGAAATAAAACTTTGGTGGCTATCTGCCAAATTTCCAGACTGATGTGGAGGTGACATCCCATGCACAACTTCTCCACCGCTACCTTACGAAGAGTTACGCGTACACTGATTTTTAAGTAGTGCAATGAAAGGATCTAAATTCTTATATACTCTGGCTCACTATGTAAGCATTTATTTTAAATCCAACCTAGCTTTACTTTAATAATTGGTTTTATACAACTCACCACTTTTGCATCAATTGCAACCTGAGCGAAGCCTTTACGATTACCCCAAATGATGTTGTAGGTTTCATCACTAATTAGGGCTTCTCGAACTCCACCTGGTGAAATAGCTAACAAGTGACCACTCCTCAGAATTTCAACACATTTTTCTCTTGGTCCATGTAGAGCACAAAATACATCAAGTAATAAACTAAACCCTGTAAGAAACATTAGCATGAAGATATGTCTTAAGTACTTCTTGTCCAATTCTTCAAAACAAAAACATTTGCAACCCACAGAACTTAATATCTACACTTAAATTAGTAAATTCCTTTTTTTACTTCTTTTTAGATCAACAAGAACTCTTAAGGTTTACGTACAATTAATATTGCTGGTAAAGTAACGGCTACTATGACTTACTCATCGCCTCCTACTGATCACCTCCTCACGGATCACCTGCTATTCGGGCTACTGGACATATTCAAACTCTTAATTAAAACGCACAAAAACCATGGAAAACAGGGATTCTGGCCCCCATTTTACAGACAAAGAAAGTTGGCTCAATGAGTCTCTTGCTCAAAGTGTCACATCTAGCAAATGGCAGGGCAGAGATTCTGGTCCAGGTATGTCTACTCCAAAGCCCCTTCCACTGCATCTCAGGGCCAAACACTGTGTATAGTATTTACTAGAGCAATCAGAAATGATATCCCATCAGCAATCACAAATCTAATCTTCCTTTAGCCCTATAAGAAAGAGAATCACTCAGGAGAATGTAAATCTGACTATGCTTAGCCCTACCAAAATTGGCAAGCCATAATCAAATCAACTGAAATTCCAAGTTAGATGATGTTACTCTCACAATTAAATTTTTAAAATCAATAATAATAGCAAAATCATTAAGAGGTTTGGTTTTTTTAAGAGTTTTTAATAAAGTGAGTATTTAATTCAGTAACAGCCAATTCCAGGTCTTAATATTATACAGTTTTTCAAAGCACAACTATTTATGGATGAAAGAAATAATCCTGTTAGTAACTAAATATTTTAACCAAATCCTACACTGGAACTCTGGAGGGCTGATGTTAGCGTATACATTATACTTGAGAATGGAAAATTGGGTAGTGAAGACTGTGCAGACTAACCAAACTCCTCACAGGTTTAAGGATCTAAAGCAAGATTATGCATATTATTAAGATTGAAAGACTATTCACCCCCATTATATTAAAAGCTCACTGATTTAATTAGATACATTTTCATAATGGGTTTCATAAATTACAAGATGATAAAGGGGAAATTTCTAGCCAAATGCTAAATAAAAATATGCACATTACATATGAAAAGAAAAACAATGCAAGCAACCTAATGTTCTATAAGAGAAAACTAGTCAAGTAAATATTTTAGCCCTACATTAAAACTATTCTTTATAAAGCATGGTACAATGGTAATGCTAACATCACAATTTTATAAAGAAGAACACAAAAGTGATTGCATAACATGCAAAATTATGCAAATGAAAAATGAAGTACAATAAATCAAAACAATAACTGGTTATGTTAGGGTGGTAAGATTATAATGATGCTCTCCTTTTCTCTAGTTTTCAAATTTATTATAAAGTGATCACAATTACTTTCTAAAGAAAAACCTTTCCTGGACAATTTAGTTTAATCAGAGTACAAATGGCTTTTTAGTACACAAGGACACTCAAAAGATTAACCATGCCTATGAAAGGCTCTGTTACTTAATTCACTGCTTGGTGTTTGTCTTTCTGGTTGATGGGTGGCTTTTGCTTTTATTATGCCAGAGAACAAATGATAAACTTTGTTGGCTCATTTCTGGTGATTCAGTGACAAAAGAAAATAAGACTACCAAGGAGTTTATTTTAGAATGGCTTTTTAAAAACAGTTTGAAATCATTTGGTTCATCAATCTTTTTAAAAAGCAGAAGCCTTTATGAACAGATTAAGAAGAATATAGTCCTTAACTTTAAGAGTTGTAAGTCTAGTGGGCAAGTCAAGTACGAAAAAGACAGACTTGTAAGGATAGGATTTCTGAAGCAATGTTATTGTATGAAGACAAAATATACCCTCACTGATGTTTTAAGTAAGTTTGATTTGCTAGAATACCAACAGTAATCAAACTCTAATTACTGTGAAGTTAAACTCCAAAAATCAGTATCTCATGGAAAAATTCATCATATGAAAAATCAACTACTTTCTATGGCAAAATATAAATTAATTACTTGGTAAAAGTTACAATTTATTTTTTTAAGTGGAAGTTCACAATTTAACTTAGACAAATAATAACAAAATAGCTGTTAATAAAGAAAAAAGTTAGGTGACATTTTTGACCATGTTTTTATATTTAGAAATATTACATAAATCGGATAATTAGATACTCCCAAACTAGAGTTCTAAGCGTGTTACCCTAAAAAGGCAAAAAGCTTTTCCAAATGATCCTAGAGAGCTCAAGGACACAGACTTTAACATAATTTGATCATGTTAACACCACTATCCACAGTCAAAGTTTACCTGGGATTTTAAAGACAAAGTGATCGGCTACTACTCGGCAAGTCCTGCCTTTATGGATAAAAATTTTAGCCATGAAGTAGTAAAAATCTATGGGAATAGCTCCATGATAAAAAATTATAAGTGCTGGTCCTTCTTCTGGTATTTTTTCCATCCCGTGAACTTCATAACCTGTTAGGAAGACAAAATACAGATGCTTAAAATATATTTATTAGTCTATTTACACTAAAGGATGGTTACTAACTCAGAAACTCGGTCTTTTGTCATTGAAGTGCATGAGCCTTCCTCTTTCTCTTTCCCTCTTCACATAAATCGGTCCCACAGCGATTAGGTGGGCCACAGCAAAGTCGGGGCGGGGAGCAGCAAGACATGCTCCAGCTCAGGCAGGTTGAGGAGGGCATCCCCATGAGGTGGTCCAGAGTGGGGAATCGGAGCCCAAGCAGAGTTGTGAGTACAACCCCAGAGGGCAACAGCCTAGAACAGGGTGCTGGGGCCTGGGTGGGAAAGGGAGGGAAGCCAGGAGTGGGGACAAACACAGGGGTAGAGGACAGCGTTCAGATACTTCAGGGGCCTAGTATGGGGTGTCAGCCCAAGTGGGGTCAGATGGTATCCCTGAGTAGCACGGGATGATGGCAGTGATGAGAGCTTGATTAAATACAGGAGGACTGGTCTAATGAGCCTACACATTAAGGATAACGTGAGCCAGGTTTCTCACTGCTGGAGAAGGTGGCTACAAAAACAGAAAAGGAGAAAACTAGAATAAGGTCTAGCTGTAAGAGAACCTCATTCCCACCCTAAAAGCAAGAATAAGCAGTGTGTCAGAAAGCTGAGGTCGCTCTCTCCATCAGCTGAACCGAGAGCTCCAATGGGTGATAAGCGCCTCTAATGAGAGGGAAGTTTAAACTTAAGTATGGAGAAGACACCGGTGCCCTAAAAGTAAGCAAGAAGAAAGTAAC